GAAGTTTTGCCCAACCTCCAGCTCTTGGGGGGCTCCAAGAGCCCCGTGGTGCCAAATTCCTCCCAGCCAGGAGCCTTAGGACGCCGCAGGCACATCTGAGCCTCCCGGCGGCATCTGCAGCGCTCGGGGGACGCCGACACCCAGCCCCGCAATTAGTGCTGGGCTAATTACTCCCGCCAAGGCTAATTAACCCCGGCGCGACGTGCCGTGCAGCTCCGCAGCCTCCCCAGCGCCTGTCCGGCAGCTGCCAAAACACGGTTCAGGGCTGGAGCAGCGGGGATGCGGGATGCGGGATGCGGGATGGGGGATGCTGGGGGACAGGAACCATCCCCGCGTGTGGGGGCCCCCTGAGAGCAGCGAAAGGATTACGGAGTAAAGAGAGACCCGGTCACTCTCTGCTTCGGCACCCGCATCTCAAAAGCTTCTGTGCGATTATTAAAGTAATTAAATGCAAAATTCAAAATATTTTTTTTAAAATATTATTTTAGCTTTAAAGGTTTATTTTTATTTGGTCACTGAGGTTTTTAAAGGCGGGCGGGGGCGGGGGGGGTGGTCCCTGAACAGCGATGCGGGGTGAGCCCATCTCCCCGCAGCGTGGAGCAAACGCGTTTCCCGGGGGAATTGGGATTCAGCCCGGGGGGAAATCGGGGCTCAGCCCGGAGGGAAATTCTGGGGTCACCCCGCGGCCGCTCCCGGTGCGGGGCCGCTGCGGGCGAGCGCTGCGGTTCCCCTGCGGCGGGAGGGTACGCACGGACGTGCCTTTAAAAAGCTTTTTCCCCTTCTTTTCCATGCCTTCCGAAGCTTGTTTTTTTTTTTTTTTTTTTTTTGGAGGGGGAGCAAGGCCACCCCGCAAAGGAGCCGGCGGGAGGCGGTGAACGACCCTTTTGGGGGGCTGGCGGGGGATCCCTCGGACAAGTTTAACTCCCAATTGCTCCCGGGATGCCGAGTCAGGTGTACAGAGGGGTCCCCAGTGGTCTGAGAGGCTGTGGGGCATCACCGTCGTCATCACCATCCTCATCATCCCCCCGCTCCCCTCCGCCGCCCCCGCACCCCCGGCCGGGCGCTGGGGACAGGCAGAGGTGACAAAAAGCCCTGGAAGTGCGGGGGCAGCGTGTCCCCACCCCCAGCGTGGCTCCCCCAGCCCCGCATCGCTCCCCACTACTGACCTTGAGCCCCGGGGCCGCGGGGGGAGGCGGGCGAGGGTCGGGGATCCAGGATCCAGCACTGCGACGGGGGGGCAGGAGGGGGGAAAGAGGGGAAGGGAGGGGAACTTCAAAGGGTTTTTGGGGCCGCTGACTTGCCCTACAGCATCTCTCAGTCCGGCTTGGTGGGGCGGAGGGGCGGGGGGGGCGTGGGTGTATTTTTGGGCTGCCGTCCCCCCACCTCGCCCCTGGAGGAAGTTTGGCTGGGAGTGGAGCGGAGCAGGCGGGAGGTATTTTTATTTTAGAGCAGCACTGCAGAGGGGGGTGGCTCGGGAGCTGTCTGTCACGGCAGCTGCTGGGAGAGGACCTGTGCTGGCTGCCAAAGCTCACCCCGAGCCAGGGGACACGGCCCGGGGCCGGCCGGGGGAGCCCCGGGGCACGGCAGCCCCCAGGCAGGGACGCGCTCCTTCCCAGAGCAGGAAAAATTTTGGGTCCCTACTTTATAACTCTGTAAGGGTGAGAGAGCAGCCCCCCATCACCTTGTGTGCTCACATTGCACGGGGATGGGGAAGCTGAGGCACGGAGCCAAAAGGTGCAATTCCTCCCTGGCTTGGAGGAGTTTAAATCCGTGCGGGGCTCGGAGGTTGCAGCATCTCCTGCTCCCGGGTAACGAGCGTCCTGACAAGAAGAAACGACCCCAAGATGCGCCAGGGGAGGTTTAGGTTGGATATTAGGAAAGATTTCTTCACTGGGAGGGTGGTCAGGCATTGGAACACGATGTCCAGGGAAGTGGTGGGATCACCATCCCTGAAGGTGTTCGAAAACCACGCCCGGGGTCGTGGTTTAGTGGTGGGTTTGGTGATCTCAGAGCTCTTTTTTACAACCTCAGGGAGTTCACGATCTCTACAAACCACCCTTGGGGTCTCCTCCTCAGCTTCCAGCATCCCCAGCAGAGGAAGGGAACACCGGGAATACCAGGAAGGGGCTTGGGTTGTGTTGTGGCCTCTCTTAATTCAGGATTGGCGAACCAGCTCAGCCAAGAGCAAATCCACACGGCGTCAGCTCCATCCCCCTGCCCTGGGGCCAAAGCTTTCTTCCAAGTCCCTGTGAGGTCTGGGGAGAGCTCACACTGGGGCCACCATCCCTGATCATCTCCTGAGCTGCCTTTAAGGTCAGGGGACAGAAACCAGGCAGAGAACCCCGGATTTTATGAATCCCTCCCCGGCTCTCCTGGTCTGGGGTGAGATGATGCGTTCTGGGCTCCGCAGGGGGGGATCTCCAGGACGGGCAGCCCTCGGGTCCGCCCGGCTTTGCTGTAGCACTCCCTGCGAACAAAAGGGCTTTTTAGCGTCATTTTTGACCTGGTGAGCACAGAGAGAGGCGCTCCTTGGTCACGGCTGTGTGGCCAGCACTTTCAGCACCTAATGAGCCACTTAATTTGTCGCAGCCGGGGCGGGATTCGGCCCCTGAGATGCCCCTTAGCCCCAGCCTGATTCCTGCATCCCGCTGCTGCAGCTCCAGCGCTGCCCGGGGACGTGGCTCCCGACCTTGGCATAATTGACTGCGTGCTTAGAGGCGAAGTAATTAAGAGATCGGTGCAGATAAGCACAGGGACACAATTCCTCACGCTCCCTCCGCCTGTGGCAGGCAGGGAGGGGTTTATGGCCACATCCAGGAGGCTCAGCAGGAGGGAAAAATCGTGTTTGTGGATGCAGAGGGACATGGGCCACCGGGGACTGACAGATCCATGTCACCCATCTGGCTCCCAGGCACGCTCACCCCCCATCCCAATCCATGAAGAAGAGAAAAACAGCCCACAAATCCCTTTTTTTATCCTCGGTCTGCCGGTGGCACAACGAGCCCCGTTGTGGGGCCGCGGGAATGGAGGTGATGGGATCCCGGATTCGTGGAGGTGAGGGATTCCGGGAGGGCTCCTGGGTCACAGCCCCATCGTGCTGCTCTCATTGGGCACCCACGGAGTTTCAGGCCAATGATAGATTTTCATCCCCTTTTTTTTTTTTTATTAATCCCCAGTAATTTGTGATCCTGCTGGATCCAAAATGCAGCACCAGTTTGGTGGGTTTGCTGGGCAGCACTTCTTTTATCAGGCTTTGGGAACTGTGGTATTAAAAATCACTCAGCTTTAATTTATACATATTCTAAAAAAATTAACCACACACCCCCCCTTGATTTCTAATATAATGATTTATTTTTAATGTAACCAGCTTGTCTTCCTCAGCACAGGTGAGTCCTCTGTGTTTTACTCTCCCAGTGTTTATGGCTTTGAGATGCTTCAAATGGTGTTTTTTCAAACACTGGGTGGGTTGCTGGAAGTTGTGGCACAGGAGCTGAGGCCCAGCCACTCTTCAGTGTCTGAGAAAATGAGTGGGAAGGTGGTGGAGGGGCTTCAAGGAAAAGTGCTTGGCTCTGTCCCAGCGAGGCATGGCACGAGCTGGAGATGTTAATGGGGACACCAAACAACCCTCCTGTCTGCTGGAACAGATCTTTGGATGGGAGGGAGAGAGGGTTTTAATCGTAAAATCCTAGAATGGTTTGGGTTGGAAGGCACAGTTGGAAAGTTCCAGCCCCCTGCCATGGGCAGGGACACCTTCCACTGGTCTTGGACACTTCCAGGGATGGGGCAGCCACAGGTTCTCAGGGCAATGTGTGCCAGGGCCTTCCCACCCTCACAGCGAAGAATTTTTTCCCTAATATCTCATCTAACCCTGCTTTATTTCAGTTTAAAGCCATTTTGTCCCATCACTCCATGTCCTCGTCAAAAGTCCCTCTCCTGCTCTCTTGTTGGCCCAGCACCGATTGTTTCCTGCTGCCTTGGGTTGTTCCATCGGGTTCCTCACCAAAACACATCACTGGGAATGTGCCAACCAGGACCTCAGCAGGTAGGGAATGTGTCCCCCATGCAAGGTCCCTCTCAGGACCCCTCCCAGCACCCCCAGAATGGCTCTGCCCATCCCCCATGGCCCACACCAACCCCATCAGTGGTTCCAGGACCTCCTGCCACCCCAGGGAAGGACTTTGAAGGAGGCTCCCACCACCTCCTCCCACCCACCATCAGGTCAAACCCCACTGCCTTCAGCTCCTCTCCTCACCATCCCCTCCCATTGCCCCCAAAAATGGCCCAGTTAGACCAGTGGCAGGCTGGATTGACATCCCCTCATCCCTTGCTGCCACAAGTGCATCCCACAGATCACTCCCTGACAAATGAGCTGCCCTGAGCCCAGGGCTCTGGATGGTTTGGGAGATGTAAGTGGAGACTCCAGGGACTTAAGTGGCATTTGTGGAGTGAGGCCACCCTGTCCCATGGGAGCTGGGCTGGGAGGGGAGAGGATGAAGGGAGAAACCCAATACCCCTGTTGGCTCAGTCAGGGCTTAATTTAGAGCACAGGGGCTCTGCTGTTTTTCCATTTAAAGCTGAACCTCGTTCCTTTTGTCCTGCATGGGATGAGGGCCCTGTGGCTTGCAGGGCAGTAGCAGCTGCTGGCTGGGGCTGTGTTCCCCTTTGCCACCAGCTTCCTCACGTGAAGGACTGAAATCCATCTCCTCCTCACACCTCTGTCCTGCTCTGGAGCCTTGGGAATGAGCCATCCACAACCCAGGGCTCTAAACTGGAGCTGGTACAGTGGGATCAGCTTTGTGCCACCAGCTGATCCTCTGCCCCTTGTCCAAGTGGATCCCAGGGCAGGGAGAGCTCTCCTGTGTCAAAACCATCTACATTTAACCACCCTGATGCAACTTAATTCATGTTACAGCCACTTTGGAGAGCTCTTCACAGGTAAACACCTGGCACAGGCCCAGAGGAAAACAATGATGATACATCAAAGATCTTTTATTCCCAGGGGTTCAGCTGTACTTTAAAATGGGATGCATCCATCAGGCACTTGATGGCTGATTTATGGGAGGGCTCTGCCCAGCTCCAGGGCAGGATAGAACCTCCAAGTGCTTGGAGGACTCCTGTTTGGAGTTAAAAGCTGCCCAGATCCCAACAAGGAGTGTCCACAGCCAAATATCTGCAGCAAAATTAAGCTTAACTGTATCCACCAGCCCGTGCCAGGGGTGTCACCTCTAGTCTGTCACCACCTTCTGCTACAGTGAGAGACTGAAAAAACTCAGAGCTTATCAAAAAGCTGCCTGTGACACAACTTGTCACTGGATGAAGGTTGTCCCAGGGAGGAAAAGCTGGGGACTCACACTGCTTTTAGCTAAGAGAGGGACAAACATCATAACAAAGGCTGGTTGCAAACTGAAGCCAGAGAAATCCAAATGAGAATGGAAGCACAGGATTTTAGCAGGAGGAAAAAGAAAACCTGAAACTCCCCAGGAAAGCAGGGGGTTATGGGGGTTTCATATCAAGTCCAGCTCCATCCCTAAAAGAACTGTAGCTCAAACAGCACATCCAGGGTGCCAGAGAGAGATCCCAGGATTGAGGACCAGCACCAGGGGGTTTTCCAGGCAGGGAGAAGAAGATTCTCATTGATTTTGTTCTCTGAGTGATGGGTTGGGATCCATGGAGCTGCTGCTGCTGCTGCTTCCAAGGTCTGCCAGGGTTTCTTCTGTTCAGCAACAAAATGACATGTGCTGCAAAGGAAATTGGTCTCATCCCTTGAAAACTGTGAACCAGTTGCTGCAAGAGTCAGCACGGAGAGAATTCAAAGGCAGGTCACTCTGTGGAAGTGCAGAGGGAATTTATTTCAAAATGAAGGTGAAAACTGAGAAGGCCTGGACAATCTGAGCTGTGTTCAGATCCACCCCCCCCCCCCACTACGTGATGGGAGACAGACTGCACATTTCCATGAGAAACAGCTACTCACAGGTACAGGCTCTCTCTATAAGCTGGTTTATAGTGGTTTAGTTCCTTCTTTGTCAAGGCTCTGTGCGTGTGTGCAGGAAAAAAAAGGGGAAATGCTTCTGTGCAACCCCAAACAAGCATATGTTTAAAGCAATGAGTGTTGCAGCACTTGCAAAAAAAAGGTCTGCAGCACGTGCTGGCGAGCCAGATGTGTTCTGTAACATCCCAGTTCCTTCCCTGTGCTCCAGGGGCTGACTCAGAGGTGTTTCACTGGAGAGTGGGTTGGTTTCCACTGCTGCACCAGGACAGGAGGCAAGGAAGGGTGGCAGATTGCTCTGCTCCACTGCTGGGAAAATCGGATGGATTGACACTCCTGCGTAAGCGAAATCAGAATCTCCAGCCGCCCGGATTTAGCTCGGCAGAGTCTCCACAGCCCTGCCCCGGCTCAGGCAGCTTTTTCAAGGGGATCTGCCCACTCCTGCAGGTCCTTAAAATATCTGCCAGAGGTGGGGGATGATTTCTTCCTCTCTACATAATCATCAGGATGGAGCTGAACAGGAACAAGGCACAGCTCACTTGGATGAAACTCTCTCTCTCTCTCTGAACCCAGGATTTATTCCTCAAGTTGTGCAGGGACCATCACAGGTTGCAAGATGCTTTTTCCTCTGATGCAACTGGCAGGGTGAGCAGGGAAAATGTGGCAGTGAAGTGTTTTGGCCCTGCTTTTTGCAAGAGAGGCAGCTGACAGCTTTGCTGAGCTATAGGGCAGTGCTGGGGGAACAGAGAAGGGCTGGGAAGTACAGAGAGAAACTCCCAGAAGCTGAGTTTATCCTCAGCTCTTGTGATTTCCTCCATCAGGGACTCCATGAACTGTCTGAAAAGAGATTATCTTTGAATCTAAGCAGGAAAAAAGGCACGGGGACAACACACCTGGAGGAACTCCTGCTCTGCTCATTTTCACTCTGCACAAGGGGAGTCAGGATGAAATTCCTGTGCTGGGGAAGGGAGCACAGGGAGAGGGAGTCTTTCCTCCACAAAAAATCCGCTTTGCCATGGGTGGTGCTGTCCGGGGTTAAAGCCTCACAAACTTCAGGCTCAGAGAAAGAGAGCAGAAAAAGAAGAGCTTTCAAGACTTTGAGCTGAGAAACAAAAGCAGCACTGTACAAAAATGACTGGCTCTCCATTTGCCTGGAATCCCCAAGGCTGCTCTCCCTGGCAGGATGCATGTTAATGCCTTATTAGCTTGCACTCCGTGTTCTCACTGTGCTGCAGGAGGGAAGGACAGGGCTGGCAGCACCTCCAAAAGTCCCAAAAGAGCTGCAGTGAGGACCTGCCTGTGTTTTGTGGCATTTCTTCCCAGAGAGAACAAGATCTGCCTGATGGATGGATGGATGGATGAATGCAGAGACCCAGAAATAGGGAATTCATAACCTGGATGGTGAATCTGGTGTGGAAGGAGCTGAGTTTAAGGCAGGTCTGACTCACTGCAGGGGGGAGCTGCACAGGGCAGCTTTTCAGTGGAAACTCCACTGAGTTTCAGAAGCCTCTTCAAGCAAAGAAACAGGCTGGAATGGTGAGTGGAGCCACCCCAAAATTCAACTTGCAGACATTCACAGGCCAGGCTAACCCTGTCCCTCAGCACTGCAGTGCTGCAGAAAGCCTCAGACAGACAGGTAGCAGCGTGCTGATAAAAACAGAACTCAGTTTGTTCCAAGGAAGGGGGCTGGCCTAACTTTTGTTCAGCAAATTCCTTCCTGAGCTGATAAAGGCACATTGAATATGGAGCCCTCTCAGGGAACACTGTGTTGAAACCAGAGAGGTTTTGCCCAAAATCCCACCGTGGAATTGCAGCTTTCTGAGTGCACCAACTCCATCCTGTGGAGCCCTGCTTGCCAACTTACAGACAGAATTTGCTGACACGTGAAACCTCCACTTTTCTGTATTTCATCTCTTGTTTCTCATCCTCTCCTGTAAATGCTGAAGATCTGAGGCTGCAAAACTACACTGCCACTGCTCCAATTCCCGGGCACGATGCCTGGGCTCCCTCCCTGCTCTGCAGCCCAAAGAACTCGGGCTATCTCCCTTAACTCTTCTCTTGTTCCTGCTGCTGAATGGCCTGTAAAAAGATATCCCTCACTTGCTCCATTGTGTCTTGATACAGTTTAAAATCTTCCTCTTTCTTTCTCACAGTTGATTCCAAAGCAGCCTGCAGAGCTTTGTTCTCATCCAGCTGGATTGCGAGCCTAGGAGGAAACAAAGGGGAAAACTTTCCTGTGAGCAAATCAAAACAGCTCTTCTGTTTTGGGGACGAGGCTCTGAAACACAGGATTTCTGGTGATTTGGTGACAGGCGTGAGAAAAAGCAGAGTTTACGCTTGTTCCCTCCCTTTTGGAGGTGGGAAAGGGTAAACACTGCTTGGAGGGAGGGAAAACTTACCTGGTGCTCAGCTCCTCTAGCTCTGATTCCAGGGGCAGCTGGGACAGGGGGAATGCAGGGAGCTCCTTCCTGTCAGGGAGGCTTGAGTGAGCCACAGGCTGGGCTGTAGAATTAATCACAAAATGGGGTTTTAGTAACACAAGCAATTGTTTTTAATGAGTAAATCTCAAGAAACGGTGAATAAATACTAAGGAATCCATTAACTTCTATGTATATCCGTGGTAATATTGATAATGATAATATATGTAAATATATCGGGCAGACTTTTTTTTTTTAAATCTCCTTTCAGCAAAATTAGAACATGATGAATCTGCATTTCAGGGCTAAATGCAGTAATACAGGTGCCTACATATGTAGAGAGGAAAACAATCCATAATATTTAAAGTGAGAGGAAAACAATTAATCCATAATATTTAAGTGAGAGGAAAACAATTAATCCATAATGTTTAAAGTGAGAGGAAAACAATTAATCCATAATATTTAAGTGACCAAAACAGTAAGTGACAAGCAACAGTTGAAAAGGATTATTTTGATGTTAACCTTGCAATTGTGTTTCAGATTATGACAACTGTTGCTTCCTGAGTGTCTGTGACAATGTTTGTGGGTGGCACATATTGGAATAGCTTTTGTAAAGGACTTTGACCCTCAGCATAAAAACAGTAAGTTAAATGTACTTCACACTAAGGTTCTAAATTAATTTAGGATCATCCACCCAAAAGATGAAGCTCCTGTCATTTCAAAGGGACACGGAAAGTTTTTTCAGGGTTATAGAGAAAATATAATTAAAAAATACAATCCAAGATTTACTCCTGGGATTGGAGAAGCCAAAACACTGTGATTCTACTGTACATTGCAACTGCTGTTTTGTGCTTGTATTGCCATTTCAGTGCACTGCTGTATCACTTTTCCAAAGTCACATCCCTCAGAACATCAAATCTCTTCAAATAAGTAAATTTGGTATTAGAACACTAAATGTGGAATATCTAAAAGGACCTGGTTGGAGGCTGCTGAGCTCTGACAAAAACAAAGGAGAAGAAAAGGCTGTGTTGTGTAACCAAGAAGCGCTTTTGATCTTGGGGCTGTGTTTTACAGGGCTGAGGAAAACCTGCTGTTACTTACCTGTCCTCCTCTGGGATTATTCTTTGATAATTTGGAATTTGGATGAGACAGGAAAAAAAAAAAAAAGGCAGCATGGTAAATGAAAAGCCTGAGTAATTTTAAAAACACAGCTGGGTTTTTTCTACCTACTTAGCATCATTATCTTCTTCCCTTGAACTGAGGAGACCAGAAACATTAGATAAGCAATTAGATCAGCTCTCTCCAATTTGGCACTCCCAGAAAGAAAAGAAAATATTACGTTAATTAGCAGGTTTTCTTCCTCTCTGTTTTATATTCAAGCTTTTAATTTCTTATTTCCTCAACTCTCTGCCATGAAAGCAGTCAGATAACCCTCATGCTCTGCTGAAGAGGTGAATTACAGACTTGCAGACTCAGTTTTTGTACAAACTCCGCAGAGTTTTGGCACATCACAAGGGGCTGAGCTCTCATCAAAGCAGGGTAGTGAAGTAGATTGTTACCTACTCATCTTATGGATTTAGAGAGGATTTCTTCTTATTAGTCTTACTGCCAATCCTTTTCTACTTTTGCTTTCAGTCCTTAAGCGGAGAAGATTAACGAACTAAATATTTAGTGAGAAGGAATCTGCCACACTGGTAAGAGCTGCTGCTTCCTCTGGCTGTGAAATGCCAACCACCAGAGGTGAATTACATTATTACAGCACAACAACTTGACCAAAATGGCTCAGGACCTCAAAGTTTATCCCGTTATCTCTTGGGGGTTGCAAGGAAAAATCTACACGGAGCACACGTATGACAACAGAACAGCACATCAACGCCTCACCAGGCTGTATGAAACTCTGAGCACCCAAAAACTCACTTAAATTCTCCAAAAGACAGCACCAGAGTGCTCCCATACTGTTTAATCAGGAAAAAGTGTATCGCTGAGAGCTGTATTCCCACAAATCTCTCCTGGCTGCTACCAGTCCCTACACACACCCTGATTTCTTCCTCTGGGCGTCTGCAGATGAGCATATGAGGGTTCCAAAGCCTCTCACCTTATTCAGTCCCCATTCAGGATAAAGGTTGTGGTCCCTCTGGTCACCCCAACTCAGCCTGACACCACCCCAACATTCACCAAATTGAAATTCCCCTTCCTGCCATTCATCTCCTGACATTTAAAGCTTTTTTACTTCGTGAAAATAGACATTAAAAGCCAAACCCCTGGAAAAGTTTCCTTAAGAATATGTGCCATTTTATTGGTTTAGACACTTTACAGCATCAGAGTCCTTAAGCAATAAAAGGACCTGATCAGGGAAATAAAAATTTTAACATCCACCATGAATTCTTCTCCTTTAACTACGCCGGGGAGGCTTTCATATTTATAGCAGGAGATTATCACGTTCATGGGATAATAAATTACACCAGATCTAATTACTTCATCACCAGCACCAGTTTTTCACAGGCACTGACAGGCCTTAAATTGGGATGCGTCCTTTAATCCTGCTCTTAACCTTCAGCTGGGTCCCTCAGGCAGAAGAGCGAAGGGAGCACAGAAAGTGGCTGTAGGGGCAACACAGAGCAGGGGCAAGTTTTTTTTTTTTTATTCTGGAGACTGTCACATCCCATGTTGCAGAAATCCTGTTCCCAATTAAATCTGTCTCAAAACCCCTCCTGAATTACGAGGGGCTGGGGTTTTCCCTCCTGTGTTGTTCCCCTGGAGCTGGGCAGGTCCCGGGCACCACGTGCGAGGTCAGGCCCTTGTCTGGGTTTGACAGATGGAGCCCAAGTGTTGTTGCTGTCTATTAACACAGAGGTGAAATGGGGGGCAGAGCTGGGGCTGAGTGTTCCACCTCACCTCTTCTGCTCCTCAGGGGTGCTTTCTGTCCAGTTGTGTTTTTCCCTGGATCCATTTGCAGCCGTTCCAGCTCCTGCTCCAAAATGACAGTTTGCCACTGCTGTTCCTGAAGCATCTTCTCAGCTTCCAAGACTTTATTGCTGCTTTCCTCCACTCTGACAGGAAAGAAAAAACCAAAAACCAAAAGGGAGTTCAGCTTATTTATGTCATGTCTATGTCAAATCACTCTTGGTGCTGAATCCTGCTTCATATGCTGCATAGCTCCCAGCAGAGGGAAAAGAATTTTCCATGCATCCAAAGGCAGAAATCCCAGTGAAATTGTTTCATAGGACATCTTCCCAATATGCAAAACAGAACTAACTGATGTGTACAGTTAGAAATGATGGGTTTGTTAATGGAGGTTGCTTAGATCCTGTAGATCCCTTGACTTGTGTGAGTTCACCACAGGCATGAGTGGGAAAGCTGGGGATTGCTGAGGAGAGATCTTTTATTACAGGAATAATAAACTGCGTTTTTTTTAAGCACTCTGGGAAAGTCTGGAAGGAAAACAGTTTATAGAAGCACTGTGCAGCATTTAACTGGTTTGTGTCAGTTATCTGCAGGGAAGAAGAGGAGCTTGATGTTGCTTTTAATAAACTTGGCCTTGGAAGGGAGTGAGGGGAAGAACAGCACTGGAGAGCAAACTGCCTCTACTCACCCCACACATGTTAGAAAATTAACTACAGAAATCTAATGTGCACCCACAGACACAGTCACTGGTGCATCTCGTAGGGCAGTGACTGATAGCAAGTGATTTACAGGAGTTTAAAGCTGGAGAGAAACACCAATTGCCTCACTGCAACGTGCAGGATAAAAGAATTCCCTTCCTGAGCCCACGGGGGAGGCTGATCACTCTCTGAATCAAGAGATTTGATTAGTTTATTTCCCTCCTAGCTGACATAACTAAAAAGAAATAAAATAAAATAAATATTACAACTATAATAAAATTATATCACTGTCTTAAAAACCCAGCTGCGGGCAGGACTCGACCTCCTGTGGCAGTGAATTCCCAGGCTGGTGACGTGCCCTGAGACATTTCCTTTCTCTCAGTGGCTCTGAATTCACTACACTTTCAATTGACCAGGTGTTCCTATAGCATCCCCATTAGAGCAAAAAGTGGAGGAAAAATGACAAGACTACTTGTTTTTTCAATTACATGATTTGCCAACATGAATAATTTAACCCGAAATGCTGTAGAAAAATCCCACTCTTCACCATTCCCCGTGCTCTTCTCTTGATTTCAGCATTATCTGTGTTACCTGAGCTTTGTTACACTCCAAAAGGGGAGGGAGAAGGAGGAATGCCTGATTTATTTGGTTTTTTTTTTTACATACATTGATGTTGAAATCTGACTGGGTGCTATATTATCCCAGAGTTATTGCCCACAGTCTCACAAAATTTATGTTACCTGCTTGATAAATGTGTGATAACTGTGGAGCTGCTGAATCATCAGCCTATGGTGCATTTTACTGTGCATTTCATCAGCTCTGCTCTTCATTATCCCACACTGCTGCTGGCCCCATCTCCCCTATCACACCTCCATCCTTACATCTGATTGCAAAGCTCTGTTAAAGTCACTGGGCTTACAAACATGAAAAAAAGGTTTTCCCACCATATATATCTGCAGGGTTTTACCCTTTAAAAGCATCTTTTCCAAGGTTCTTAAAAATATATATATATTTTTTTTTCCTGACTGTGATTAATCACATAGGATAAGTTAGACAGGTGAGAATGATAACTACTGTCGAATAAAGCAAGTAAACAAACTGTGCTTATTGTATTAACAAACACACAGACAAAAATATGCTTCCTATTTTAGAATACAGGTTTGGGAATCAAATAACACACATTCCCTAACTGGGGAAAAAAACCCAGCAGTAGCTGAAAGGTGTCCAAAGAGAAAAGACTTTGCTTCCCTTGTCCACCTAAAACATAGCTGGCTTTTAACATCATCTTACATCAAATTAAACAACAGAAAATGAAATTTAAAATAAAAATCAATGCTATGCTTCAGTTAAACCAGAAGAAATTCATTTAGGAAAGGAAACAGTGAAACTTAAAAAAGAATGTGAGAAGCTTTGGAACCTAAGTCAGATTATAACTCTAATTACAGTATTTACTACTGCTGAGTAGTATTGCTGCCTAAATAACTCCATGAATGCATAAATACAGGAATTCTAGTTTTGTCTTGGTGCAGCAAGCTTGAAGATGGCTCCATTTTTTTCTGCCCTTTGTTCTACAAGGATAATAAAAGAAATGAATCATCAGCCAGGCAGGGGAAATTGAGCAGAACAAAAAAAAAGAGGTAAAAGCCCCTATTTAAGGAAAGGATCCCACTGTACCCATGTGGTGTTCTGCATTTTAGAGACTCTGAGTGTTCCCAAACCACAGGATCCCACAAAGGACAGGCAGGATCAGGCTCTACCTCTTCTGCAGCACAGTCACCAGCTCCAGGAGCACGTCCCTCTCCACCTCAGCAGCCTGGCACAGAGCCCTGTGCTCCGTCATCTGGGTCTGCAGCTCCTTCCCCTCTGGAATGGCAGTGCCAGGGAGCCTGAAAGCAGCACAAGCACAGAGAGGCTCTTTCCCATTCCAGAGAGGAAAGAAGAGAAACAAAGGCAGGATTTGAAAACCATACCCAAATAACACCTGTCTGGAGGTTCAGCCAGAAGGCAGAGCCAGGCTCGCTACCCCCCCCCCCCCCAGCATCAATGTCTGGAATACAATAAACACAACAGAAATATTTGGAAATAAAGCCCCTGAGAGTCTCATTAGAGAGGTGTTTCCAGGGTGCTTCACCTTCCCATCACCCCCAAACTTCCACCTCTGAGCAGTTCATTGTCCCTGACTCTCCTGCCAAAGAGGATTCTATCTCCAAAGTGCTACATTGCTACACTCAGCTATTAAATGCCCTGCTATTGATTTTCTCCCTCTGAAAGGCTTCAGGCAGCACTTCTACAATGGCTGTTCTTGTGCCCAACATGTGATGAAAGGAAGGGGCAGTTTTCCCAAGTATCCCATTATTATGCACTTCATTACTCCTCTGACCTCTCTGCATTCAGGATTGTCTCCTTTAGAACGAAAAGCAAGAGAAATCTTGGTGGCTGGCAGTAAAAATGGAAAAAAAAATGGTTTTATGTGCTGTCAAACCAGCAATCAATTAAAAAATTAAGATAGCAAGAAGATGTTAGAGCCTGTGCCAGAGCTCTTGGGCAGCATCAGGTAGGAAGGATGGTAAAAGGAGCTGTTTGTTCCAGAAACAAGGCAGACAAGGACAAGGTTTGCCAGCAGCTTGTGGAGCGTGGCAGGACACCTCTCTTGCTGAAGATGAAGTTCATGTCCTTACCCTCCAGGTGGGATGTCATCCCTAAGAAGGGAAGGCCTCGTGGCTGCTGATTCCACAAGCAGGTGGCCCATCCTGGACACTGTGCTGAGGGGAGAAAAGCTTTGTCAGGCAGGATTCCAAGAACTCCTGGCATTTCCCGATGTCTGGGGTTATCCCTGCCTTGTAGGGAAGAGCACTCCCATCTCACACCTCCACCCAGCTGACTGTGCTCCTCTGATGGTGGTTTTATGGCACATATTTCCACAGCGAGATGAACTCCTGCTCTGCAACAAGGTCCACAACTTGCACTTCCAAATGCCCTTGAAAAATACGCTTTTCTGAACCCTTCTGCTTTGTGAAGGCCCTCATGAAGATCTGTCAGGTTTTAAGGAGAAGAGTGAACTGATCACACTGGAGTGTCACTTCCAGTCTGGATGAGTTTTATACATCATGATATGTGTGTTTGGGACATCAAATTTTGGTGTGTGCTTGTTTTCCCAGCATGAGCTCAGCTGCCTAAAGGCAAGCCCCTGTAAATTGAGCCCATGTTTCCTTGTCTTTAGGCTGGAGATAAGAAGAGGGTAAAGCCTTAATATTGAGGAACAGGCAGAGCTGCCTTCTAGGCTAGGAGTGGTTAATCCTAAAATCAAATTGATAATGACAGACTTGGCCCTGTCTAAAAATGCAGATTTTTTAACTTCACCATCTCCGAGGGGCTCTGGCTCCTATTTATAGCATTTTTCATTTCATCTTTCCTGATAGGAAAAGATGATTCACTACAGTAAAACAGAATGGGAGAGTTCATCAGCATATTAAAGTTAATGGAAGGAGTGAGCCTTGCTGACCAAGTTATTAAGGGCTCTCACAGCTTTTTCAGGATCATTCATTGCCCACCTGACACGTCAGCTCTTTCCATGGCAGAGCCTTGAGCCACGTCCACAGGCAATAATTTATGCACTGCACTTAGTGGTTTCTGCAAAGCCATTACCCAACCTCCTTTTCCTGCTTACCATCAGCAAACGTATGAAATAAAAAAAAAAAGGGGGGGGGAGGATAAAATACAGGTTTGCTCCATCAGAGCACAACAACTTCTGCAGAGTTGGAAGTGGGAGAATAAAGGCAGTCCAGTGGTACAACAATGGAGATGCAGAAACTTTCAAATTAAGGGTGTCTGAAGAGAATTTTTCTTTAATTTAATAATAATATTCCATTAGACTCAGGGATACAGCTGACCATTTTAAAGCCAAATTCAGCGTCTAAAATAACGTGGTAGGAAATTGCAGAGACAAAAATCAGTTGCACTTTGATGAAAAATTTCCTCCAGCCCCCTAAGACCAGTCTCAAATCCTCATTGTCAATTAGACCATGAACTCTTTAGCCACAAACCCAGCACTTTAACAGGAAAGGATGTAACTTGCTCTGGTGTCTTTACACAGCCAGAGTGACCCAGAGTCACATCAGTGTAAACAAAACCCAGATTTATTGCTGTTTTAAGATTAGTGTAGTTTACACACTCCTCAGCCAGGCTTCAAAAAGGGTGTTTGTTAAGGAGAAATGATGTGGTGTGTTTTCAACACTGCTGCATGTAAATCCTACTCAAAGTGTATTTATTGATTTAAATAATGCACCAGTGATTTAGTGCTTACCTAAAATGGCATTTTGTTTTAATTCAGCACCCTGCTCACAGAAGTCTCCTCACCAGAAGTCCTGTTTCCCATAAGAGGACTCCCAGGCACTTAAGCTGACCACATAAACATTATGTGAGCTGGAGAGAAGGAATTAGCTGCACTACCATCATGCCAAATCTAGTAATGTCTGCAAGTCTGCATATCCTTCTCTGTTCCAGGACAAAAGTCCAAGAGATAATGGGATTAGAGATTCCCATATACTGCAAACAGGCTGCCACAGCTGCTGGCAACAAAGCACTTGCGGTTTCATAAAACTGCCTGGGAAAACCAGGCTGCTGAATTACTCCCAACAGATTTAAACGTTGACATTTGGGGTCTTCTTACCGGGCAGAGTCAGTGCTTCCAACCTCGCTGCTCCCTGATGCCAGAGGTGCCTCCGAGTGCTCACAAGGTGGTGCATCAGCAGCTCCTGAACCCTCCCCTTGATGGGCAGATTCCTTCTGGTAATGTTGGAGCAGGTTATAAAACCAATTACACAGTTCAAAGGCAAATAGCTGCATCAATGCCTAATCAGCAGCTTATAATTATTGCTAAAAGCATGCCAGAGCTTTTTGATTTACAGGACCTCCTCAGAAGCTTTTCTTTCATTCCTATCCATTGCAGGATGAAAACAGAGCAAGAGTCAGTACAAAAAAGGGCAGTTTCCTATGAAATCAAGGGGCAGTGGCACTGGAGAACCCACAGGGCTGCACCATCCCTGCCAGCAGAGCTGGTTTGTGTCCCTAACCCAGGTTTTATCCTGGGTTCAGTGTTCCATTAATGGGGTATTTGGCACAATCTCACCATAGAACCCTATGGATGTTTTAGATCACTGGGAATTGGATGCCTAAGTATTAACAAAACTTGACTATAGAATCAGCAGCCTGCTGATGTTGGTTTAACATATTTTGTTTGCTTCCTTCTCTCAGCAGCCAAGGATTGTGAACACTGAGAGTTCCCCACTGGAGCCCCAGCCCTTGCTGTCAGCCAAGTGACAGCCTTGACATGGAGCCACTTGTGGATGGGATTGATATTTCTGTGTTTTCTTGCTGCTTAAACAGCTTGAAGAAAAGTTATGTACCAATAGGAAAGGAACTGAGGAGTCACAAAAGAGGATTCCTGCTTTATTATTCCACCAGGAGAGACTGGCAGTAGGACTGTCTCGAGGTAGCAACCACCTCAGACAACAAGGATCTAGACCTCAAATGATGACACGGGGTGCTTCTCTGGTTCATTTATTCTCCTACCTGAAGGGTGAGTTTCCCAATCCCCACTTCCATCATTTGAGCCTTTGCATCTCGTTCAGTCACCATCTCCCTGAGCTGCTCTATGAGGCAGCTCTGCTTCTGAATCTCGTTGTTCAAGAGGCGCCCTATTTTCCGAGACTCCTTGTTCTCGTCCTCCCTCTGGCTCAGGTCCTTCAAGATCTCCTGCATTTGCTTCTGCTGGCTCTGACCAAATAGAAACAACGAGTGAGACCTTCATTTTGTACACAATGACAATTTACAGCACCCAAACAAATCTCCATTTAGGAATGGGAGGACAAGCCCCTGCCCTGTCAAACCCATTCCTTGGTGGGAGCAAACTGGTGTCACCAGTGCTGCTCTGGGAGTTTGATTTGTTGTGGTGACCTGAGCAACTGAGAGATTCAATCTGCAGCTCATTGATTCAGTGGCAGCTTTGCTACCCAGTGCAACAGAAAACAGAGCAAGCCTTGGACAAAGAAAGTGAATTAAATTTTCATAAACTGGGATGAAAGTCAAGATTTCAGTGTGCTTTCTGTGAAATCAGACCACGCTCAGATTGTGTGACAGTGACATTAAAAGATGGGGGTACTGTGAGGTGACAGCTGTGAGTTCAGGCTGCTTCACCAGTGAGTTTTGGAGGTTTTCTTTCACACTGACAAATCTAATACCTGTCAGACAGTTTCTTCTGTCAGGCCAACAAACTGCAAGGAAAGTGCTTCCTTGATATAAGGGATAAAAGAGATCAACCATCCCTTCCCAAATATACTTGCATCTTTCTGCAATAATTTTCGTGAGAATGTTCAGACCTGGCAAAAATGACAACTGTTATTTGGCTCTCCTAATCTGCTGCTCAGCACCCAAGCTCCTCACAGTGCCTGGTGTGAGAAGGGTGAATTCCAGCTCAGTTATAAACATGTCTTAGCTAAAATCTGTGTACAGAAGTAAGGAAATCCAAGTGGTTTGAAACTTGTGAGGAGCTGGATCAGGAAACACAGAATTAACCCTGCTAAGAACTGCCATATTCTCTAATATATATATTTTTTAGTATTTTAATTGGGAAGGCTGTTTAGAATCATGGCAGGGCTAAAGAACTCTGCAATATCATGACAGCAGCCATTTATTTCTCTTTCAGCATCTTGAGTCTGCTGAAACTCTTGGTTTCGAAGGGGCAAAACCCTCTCACAGCTTCAGCTGCTGCAAGTGAATGTGCACATGGTTTAGAACTCACAGTTCAGCTTGGGTGTTTTGGGCTGTTTAACACAACAAATGGAAGCTGTGTGACAAACAAAGGAATTCTTGCAGAACTGCAGGCATTCTAAGAAAAAAATAAAATCTACCAAAGGAGCTGCAAGTAGAACAGACAATACAGTCCATCTCCATGGGTCAGCAATGAAGCTCTTCCTCTACCTACAAGGCAAATCCTTTTTCAATCCTTCTGCAAAACGTTTCTACCAATCCTTGCAGCTCTGACCGCGACTGTCACACCTGGTGCTGTCTTGCAGCCTTCACATGACCTGACCCAAAATGCAGAAGGGCTTTAGCTGACTAGGAAACCTCTGGCTGTCACAGTTGGAATCATCAGGCTCCTGTATTCCCTAAGGTTGTCTGTGCCATTGAGTGACATCACGTTTCATCACTCACAGAAAGAGAGCTGGGACCAAGAGATAAAGTCAGACCGTACCAGCAAGGCATCTATGAGCTCATCGTCGTGTTTTCCTTTCTCCAGCAAGGTTACAATCTGTGCCTTCAGGATCTTCAGCTCACCACACAGGATTTTGTTCCTGGCTTTGGATGCATCGAGTTTGTTTTTCAGCTCCTCGTGGCTTTTCTGGAGGGCACGGTGTTCCCCAGCGAGTTTCTGCGGTGATGCAAACACAGCACAGGACACAACAGTTATAACCCATCACCAGGCCCCAGGTGCTTTGGGGAGCAGAAGGAATCACACCTTACCTGGTAGAATCTTAAAAAAAAAAAATCTAAAAAATGGGACTGGCATATTGCATCATCCCTAAGGAAGCAGGAATTATAAACAGTGCTGCTCACTGCCTGCTCGCCAGCAGCAAAAAAGGGTCTGTCTGCTCAGGAATCCCAGGGGATTAGGTTGATTCTCAACTTTATTCAGTTCAAATGGAGGGAGGTGTGAGGGGGATCACAGAATCACCCAGGTTGGAAAAGACCTCTGAGATCATCAAGTTCAAACTTGACCCAACCCCATCTTGTCACCCAGGCCATGCCACTGATGCCACATCCAGCCTGTCCTTAAACACCTCCTGGGATGGGGAATCCACCCCCTCCTGGGCAGCCCATTCCAATGGCTGAGCACTCTCTCTGAAAAGAATTCCTTCCTGATGTCCAACCTAAACCTCCCCTGGCATTGCTTGAGACTGAACCCTCTTGTCCTACTGCTGGTTCCTGGGAGAAGAGACCAACAGCTCCCCCCGACTCCCCCTCCTGTCAGGGAGTTGTAGAGAGTGATGAGGTCTCCCCTGAGCTTCCTCCTCTCCAGGCTGAACAACCCCAATTCCCTCAGCTGCTCCTCATAGGAATTGTGCTCCAGTCCCTTCACCAGCCTCGTTGCCCTTCTCTGGACATTCTCCAGCACTTTAACAACCCTCCTGAACTGAGGGGCCCAGAGCTGGACACAGCACTCAAGGGGTCGTTCCACCAGTCCCCAGTCCAGGGGCAGAATCCCTGCCCTGGTCCTGCTGCCACACTACTCCTGAGCCAGGCCAGGATGCCATTGGCTTCTTGGCCACCTGGGCACACCTGAGCTCATGTTCAGCTTCCTGTTGATCAGAACCCCCAGGTCCCTTTCCTCCTGGTCACTCTGCAGCCACTCTGTGGTGCTGCAGGGGGTTGTTGTGGCCAAAGTGCAGGACCTGGCACTCAGCCTTGTTAAACATCATCCCCTGGACTCAGCCCATTGATCCAGCACATCCAGGTCCCTCTGCAGAACCCTCCTACCCTCCAGCAGATTGACACTCCCACCCAGCTTGGTGTCATCTGCAAATTTGCTGATGGTGGACTCAATCCCGTCATCCAGATGTTGCCTAAATCAGTAAAGATAATAAGCAGGACTGGACCCAGCACTGATCCCTGGGGACACCACTGATGATGCTCCAAACTGGATGCAGCCCCATTCCCCACCAGTTAAGAACTGGCCACGAGCATAGAGTGCCCCTGTCCAAGCTGTGGGCTGCAGCTTTTCCAGGAGTATGCCCTGGGAGAAGGAGTCAAAGGCTTTGCTGATGTCCAGATAGACACATCCACCTTCCCCTCACCCACCAGGCGGGTCACCTGATCATAGAAGGAGATCAGGTTGATCAGGCAGGACCTGCCCCTCCTAAACCCCTGGTGGCTGGCTCTGATCCCCTGTCCATCCGTGGGATGTTTGTTTTTAACGCTGCATGAAGAATGCACACCTGGCCAAGGGCCAGAGGGATGCTCTGGAATTTGGATGTATCTCTAGCAGGGCTTGTCTGTGGAATGTGGCCAGAACTTCCTCCAGCAGATCAGGTGGGTTTGTGAGATGGTCTCTGGGTTGGGTGTAACACACAGCCTGTGAGGGAAGTCATTACACAGCACCCCCCCAAACAGGACTCTGCTGGTTCACAGGTTTTTACCTCCAAAGCTTCTTTCTTTTCTTTCTCCAAGTTGCGAAGTTTCAGCAAGTGCTTCTCCTGGGCTGACAACCTCCTTGGATCATCAAGAGCCAGGAAGTCCTCATCAATCTCCATCACTGATCTTCTGCTCTTGTTTTGACCCAACTTACCCTCCAGCTCTCGAACCTAGGGGACAATAATGGTGACTCATCCAGGGGTTTGTCACAGAGTTCCAGCACCAAAGGGACACAACCAAAGGCAGCTCAGAGTGCAACCTCATGTTAATTCTTGATAATATTAACTACCACAGAGCAGTGTCTGGTCTTTCAAATTTAAATTTAGCTGCTCACAAACCATGCAGACTTTAGAGCATCTGTGCAGGAAGGAGATATGACACCAGACCTCTGGTTGACTCGGGACACATGGGAGATCTGTTCCTTTTTGGAGCCACATGTGGAGGCCAGGCAGGCACTCCAGAGCATCTGAACTGGGTGTAGGAAAGTGAACTCAGCCCCTGCTTTTTACCTACTCACTGCAGACTCCTTTTATAGTCAGTAAAAGGAACTGGGCACTGCCACAGCTCAGTTCCCTCTGCCTGTGCTGGATCCAAGATGAGATGGACCTGCCTCACTTTTGATCCAGTGACTGTATTTACAAGATCCCCACTGACTACAAAAGGGGCCTGAGGAGACTGGCTCAGAAAGAAGTCTCTGCATTAGAGCAGAGAACAGTATGTACAGTCTTCAGGTGAACCCCAGGCAGGGGGTATAACAGAAGGAAATGTGATTTGATCAAGGGAAAGCAGAGGTTAACAACCCCAGTCAATCAGAGTGCAGAAATCACAGTTTGATGGCATGTCATTAAATAGCAGAAAAGTAGGAAATTATGTATCAAATTGCCTGAGAGAAGTTTTATTTAGATGCAGACAAAGCTGCCTCCCTGTCTCCAGCTGACATTTCAGCCCTTCAGAAGATTCAGGAGTTAAAGATTTTACTGAAGCTCCCTAAGGAACAACTTGAAAATCTTATCTGGCCTCAATTCTTCCCATCTGACTTTAGGCACTGAACAAAGGTGTCTAAGTCAGAGCACAGGCACTGACAGGGCTCCTTCTGTTCTCAGTGGAGGGAGGCACCTTCAAAACTCCCTGGGGTTTTAACTGGGCTGCCACAGCTCTCCAGGGTCACTCAACTCACTCCTTTGACACAGATGGGAAAGACTCCCAGTTAAATACCCAACCTTGCACGGTTGCAGTAGAGAAATCACTATAGATATTAAGAATTAATGAAGAACTAACAGTATCTTTACCTTAAATTGAGGTGATATCCATACTTAGAAAGAGAATTCCAGTTCCAGCTGATGTGGCACCACCCAGGGTCTTAACTCACCTTGTTTTGGAGAATGAGGATCTGCTGGGCCCGTCCACGCCAGCTGCCAGAATTGGCCAAGAGACTCTGAATGTTCACATCTTCCCCAATTTCATTGGCCAAAAGCTGTGAAAAAGGGGATTAACATCAACAAATAGAGGTGTTGGGGCTCTCCCTAGCAGTAAACACAAGCATTACTAACAGTTTTCAATGTACACTCTTATTTTTGATATAATGAATATTTAATCGTAATTAAACAGGGCAAGAGTGGAGATATTGTCTAAATACTCCCCCTTGCCATCATGAATTGAGCCCAGCTCCCTTCCACAATTCTGACACAGCTAAACTTAGTATGGAGAGCATTTAAATTATTTATAAAAAGGTCAGCAGAGTTCTATTTTTAGGACCATACTCTCTACTCTGATCTGCATTGCAGGTCTCTTACACAAACTAAGGAAACCAGGGGAAACAGAGCACACAGGAACACTTAAATCCACCCTGAATCAAAGAGGGAAAGGTTATTCTGGATGTCACTCCAACAAACTGTTTAAACACCTCCTTTATTTCCAGCAGTCTTTAATCCCATTGATTTCCACGGGACTGAAATCTACATTAAACCAAAGACCTTATTAAATGACAATTTAAATGCATCCTGAAACGGTACCTTCTGGGTCATCTTCAGTTCCTGTCTGGAGGATTGGAGCTGGTTCCGATATTCCATGGCTTTGAAGTTGGCTGTGTTTAATTTTTCTTGCAGTGCTTTCACCTCTGGACTTTCAGCCTGTGGAGAGAAGAAAGTGCTTGGTAGGAACAGAATCCTCAGGGAAAAACTGAAGTGATTAAGAACCATCAGGATCAGATTTATCAGGATCACAGAATCTGTTTTTCCAGACCCATTTCCTCCCTGATTTTTGGGGTATTCAGGAGGCATAAACTGAACATGGTCACAAAACCATGGTGACAGGGACACATCCCTGTCCTAAGCAAAGGACTGCACTGAGTATCAGCTTCTGATTTCCCTCTTCAGTTACAATTCATACCAAGTTTTCTTCCAGCATCTTCAGAGTTGACTCCTTGATTCCACCACCACCACCACCAAGGGAATGTATTTTTTCTACAGCTGCCTGTAGCTGGAAAAAGAAAAAAACCATTGTTATTGTAGAATGGATACAGTGAAGAGCATCCCTCTGTGGAGTGTTAATCAGTAAAAAAATTAAAATATGAATGTTTATTTACTCTATAAAAAATAATTAATTTTTCCTTGTTTTTAAACACAGTCAGTAGGAAAGAATTTTTTTTCCCCCCTGAAATGCTTCCCAAAGAGTCACGTGTTGTTTTATTGTGGAATAACGTCAACAAACTTCTCTGACTTGGTGAGATGGGATCAGATTTCATGTACAGAGATTCCTGGGGCATTTTATCACCACTGGGACATAAAATTAGTGTTTATATACATAAATGTAAACCCTGCCCAGCCCAGGATGTTTCATAAAAAGCACATATTCTGCTCACCAGAGGAATACAAAAGGAGGAATGACTACCTGATGCCCTACAGCTGAGATCTAATGGTGTTAAGGCTCTTTTTCTTTAGCTGACAGCTCTAAGGTAGCATTTTTTAACCCATGCTGAGGTTGCAAAGACTTCTTGCTGGATGGGAGTGCAGGAATTTGGAGCTGGGAAGGCCAGGAAGTGTTGCTTTAAAGGGTTGGGACTCCATTCTTTGAGGTGGATGGAAAATATCAATTATTTGCCTGAACAAAAGAGCAGCTTTTTCATTAAAGTGGCATCTGGGGAAACACAGAGCTCTAAAATCACCCCTTCTTCTGGGTTAGGGCCACCCTTTCCATCCAGCTCATAAACTCATGTAGTCAATGGACTGAGAATGAGGAATTTCAGCTGGATTTGGCAGCTTTTGGCCCAAATTCTAAGGAAGTTTTCTACACACATCCCTCTGCAGCCTTACATGCACCACCCCCTGCCAAGGAAGGCCACACCTTCCATTCTGATTGGGGGAACATAATCACGTTAAAACACTCACAATTTACAGTCTTTCTCAGTTTTCATGCCAGCAAAGAGCCAAAAATACATAAAATAACAATGTTTTCTATCTATCACTCAACATTTTTGATAAATACCTCCCACTGTCCAATATTGCTTTAATTTTACCCATCTTCTACATTTTCATACAGTTCCACTGAACAAGTACAACCCACAAACTCAGCCAGTCACCATTAATTTAGAGCAGAGACACCCCAAATTAGGTGGGGAGAAAACACAGACCACGGACCAGGGCACGGTTTCAGTGGGGTTCACCTCAGATGAGGCAGGTTATTGGATTTAGTTTTCATTTTGATTTTCCTGGTGTCTGGGGACAGATTTGTTCATATATAAAGTGTCCACCCCTGCTTTGATCAATAGTTACTGTTTCTTGAAAATTTTCTTTTTTGTTTTGAGTTATATTTCCTTTCCTGAAATGTTCCTGGTCCTTTCTTTTTGGGGTCAAAATCTGAGAATATTTTATATATATATTATATATATCTGAGAATATTAAGTTTGAATATTGGTCATCACACTTCTGCAGTAGGGGATTAGCACTAAGCTGGTTTTCCTTTAAATTATTCAGGACTTGCTCCACTACTTGTGTGATTTTTTAGGTCCCAAACTACACCTGATGCTTCTCTGCCAACCTGCCAACTGTTTGACAAGACCTCTCTGACCAGAACACTCTGGATTTATGCAGGAATTCTCCAAAATTTAATTTAATCTACGACTTCTTGATCTTTCAGGTACCTGGGGTAAAATTCAGAGAGATGCATGACTTATGGTAATAAGTGACTGTGAAAGATGGAGTCAAAATGCATCTGTCAGCACGATAAACATTATTGATCCATTTAACTGATGTCTTCTAAGGAAGCAAAGTTCAGAAAAAACACATTGAAAAATATAAAAAAAAGTCACCAATATTGTGTAAGGAAGAGGACAAAGTAAAGGACAAAGTAAACATTGACATCAGGGCATCTAATTTTCATTTCAGCAGTCACCTGGGGAAAATTATCCCTGTGAAAGGTTGGCCCATATAAAAAAATCATAGTAAACCAGAAAAATCAATCTGCCTGAGCGAAGATTCGCTGTCTGACATGATATAGTTTGTTGATGTCTCAGTTCTATAAATACTTGTGCCAGAAAACAGCTTTATTTATGTGGATGAATGAAGCTTAGATGAATAGAGTACAAATTCCTGACTGGTATTAATGAGGTAGGAATCTAAGACATACTGGGATGAAATTTGCTCCTCCTCACACACACACACAAAAAAATAATCAGAAAAACCTCTGTGCTTCAAATACAAGTGAACATTTCTAACTGCTGTTTAATAAATCTTTGGCTCATTATAATGTAGGGATATCCTTTCCTGGCTCCTCCTTCAGAGGAGCAAACAGCTGAGGGCACACCCCCCCTCTCTCCTATCACGGACAGAAATGGGCAGAACCCAAAGTAAACACGGACATAAAAGCAAATTTAACATGTGAATATGACTCAAGCCCATTTTCTATCCCAAAGATAGGATTTCTACGTTTTAGGATGTAAAAAGAGAACAAGAACAACGCCTCACTTCTCTCTCCAGCTCCTTGACTCTGTGATTCAGCTGCTTCACTTTGGCTCGTTCGCTCTCGGCCTCAGCAGTTATCTCACGGTTCTTCTTGGCCAATTCCACTATTTTAGTGGCTGCAACATCTCCAGCTAACCCAGAAGTCCCTGAAAAGGACACATAAAAGCAGAGGTCACGTCTTACAGGCAAGATTCAGAATAGATGACGCTTTTGTTCTCTGCCCGGCGCACAATGGACTTTTATTGTCCAATCCATTCCTCCCAGAGCTGTGCCAGGCACTTAAATGAACAAGTGAGGGAAGAGACATCAGTGATTCCAGCTGGAATGCTTGGGCCTTTCATTCAGCATCACACCAGGGCCAGCAAAGCCACATTGCACACTTCAGCAACAGCCACAGTGTCCCAAGGCCACAGCAGTGGCTGCAGCGACATCACCACCTAGAAAGGGTGGAGGTGTTTTCTCCTCGCTGCTGGGAAGGACGGTCATGAACGGGATTTTTTGGACTATCACAGAAAAAGACAACACTGTCCTTTGCCTGGTTGTTTATTACAGGAGCAGCTGCTGAAACAGAGGTGTGAACACTTTCTAGACATCTGTCCCCAAAGGTCAGGCACAATATTACAGCTGGGTCCTGGAGAAGGTCCAGGAAATTTTCATTGTGCCTATTTATATGTCCCCTGTGATTATCCCCGGAGCCTGACTGTATTACTCCTTTAATTGCCCTCTTCAACACACACGTCATTCTCTCCCTCCTCACAGGGACTGGGATCAGTGTCACAAATAAAGCAAACCCCAGCACTGGCTGTTTAGTGGCACTTGGCTTTCCCGTCACACAGGTGAAGGAAAGCTCCTGCACAAGTGCAAAATCGATGTAACTGCAAACAATGTCCACGGGAACCTCCAGCTCAGCAGTGAATGAGAGCCTGCAATGACAAATCCTTGGTGGGGGGTGTGAGGGCTGAACTTGGCTGCTGCCACTCCTTTTAACTCTTCCATCCTCCTTCAGTGCCCTGAAGAAATGACTTTCCTGCTGACATCTGGGAAGATTATATCCAGGAACTGGGGTGAGATGAAGGAGGTCAGACCACCCCTTAGTGAATTTTGAATCCCATATAACTACAGAGACATTAAAGGGGCTACAGAGAATATTGCTGAGAGCAGAATATCACTACTATAAACCTTGTAGAGAGCATAAATTTACAGTTTCTAAAAGCCTTCATTAAAAAAGCATTTAAATAGCAACTTATTCTTTTTAAAAGTATTTCCACCGTTCTTACTCCTTCATGTGATTTGTGTTCCCCCTCCCATCTAGGAGCTACTTTTATCTTAGTTTTCATGGCAAATAATGGCTGTTAAGGATCACAGTGAGTCCTAAACTTACCCAAGCCAGGCTGGGGCTTCACTGTGATGGTCTCCAAATGAACTGCACACACTTAATCAAAGCTTTTCATTCCCAAGCAATGTGGGGAGCCTCTTACCAAACACAGATAGGGCTGGCATTGGTCAGCCAGAGAAGCTGCAACAGCACATCTGGCTCCTGGTCCTGACCAGGAATAGCTTATCATCTCTCCTATGGACAAACTGCAGGGAGTTTTTAAGCATTGAGATGGAATTTGATGTTGTGTAGCTCTGTTTGATGCTGCTTTCCCCCTTCTCAAACAGCCTGGCCATCACTGCTGTCCTGACCAACAGTGGCACCCAGTGGAGGAGGTGCAGCCTGCACAGCTCAGTTTTCCAAGGCCATCCAAGCCACTTATAAGCTGGATTTTGAACCATGTGCCCTGTTCAGGAAAAAAAAAAAAGGAGCCTGAACAGGGAATTTAACCCTGCACAGCAGAGAAAGCTGCGACACAGCTCTCTGACATCCACAGGAAGTCTCCCAAAATATGATTTCTATAAAACACCTTTTTTTTTTGGTGCCAATAACAACAAGTTGGCAGATCTGTGGGGAACAGAGATCACTGTGTACCCTAAAAGAGCACTACACATCTTTTAAGGGACATTTTGCTGCCGCCAGCATCCAACAGAGCTGGTGAGAATACGAAGTTACTGTGTTTACCCGCCAAAGCCAACCTGTCCTCCTGCACTTTTTTCTGGAGTTGCTTTATTTCAAAATCCTTCTCTGTCACCAGTTTGTACAATCTGCAGTTCTCATCTCGGACCTCTCGAAGCTGATCCTGCAGCTGCTCGTTCCCAGCCTCAAGGAACCTGGGGAAAAACCAAGCCATAATGGCAAAGCTCAGTGTGGTGTGCTTCAAATACTTCCAAAAAATAAAGTAATGAACTGACTGTATGGCAGAGGAGCTGAGCTTATCAGGAGTGAGTTTACTGAATTAAGTAGAATAGCCTAAAACTTACATGAGAACACAAGCTGATGATTTGATCTATTCAGTTAACACCTTCTTAAAAAGTTCTGCACTTCCTTGTACAGTCTGGGGCAAAACATCACAGAACAGGTACATTTTCAGTGCTCTAGAGGGTACCAAACAGTGTCATCTCAGTCTCACTCACCTGGCTCTTCAGAGGGAATCAGGCAGCTCAGCATTCAGCATGTGGGACGTTCAGGCTTTATTTTTCTATGCTTAACAAAGCCAACAGAATCCAACAGAGCATCGACTACAAAAGCTGCTCCCGGGGTCCTTTCTTTAAAAAATGAATGTTTTAGAGCAATTCATAAAGGACCAATTCTCTATGTCCTCACCTGCTTCTCTTGGAACCCCACCAGCACAGCCTGGCGTCAGTTTGTATTGTTAATGGTGCTTTTTGGAATTCATTTGGAAGCACAGAATATCAAAAAAAGCCTCTGAATGGGAAGATACAGCCCTGCTTCTCCTATTCTTCAGGACATTTAGTAACATTTAAGGGTTTCACCTCTCCAAGACATCCAGAGAATTAATAACTTTAAATCTCTTTGCTGCCCTTACGTGATGGGTCCTCCAAATGTAAAATCCAGGAGCTGTGGCCTCAGGGGCTCAGTTCCATTGCGGGAATTCAGGATTATCAGATCCTCCTGACAAAGAGTCCTTGGGAAAAACTTGGGACTCCATTCAGTTATCCCCACACTGGTGCCATTTGGGGTCCCCACCTGCTCCAGCTGCTGCTGGAGGGTGCAGGTCTCCTGTGCTCAATCCAAGATTCCCATGTGGAAATTCCCAATGCTCTGCAGCATCTCAGGTACCATTACACACCTAAATCCTTGAATTGACCCCTAGATTTTTATTATTTACAGCGTAACCCTGAACCTCTACAGTCTGGAGATTTGATCTGGATAAAGCTCAGTTGTTACAGTAGGTACATGCAGACACAGCCAGGCAAGATCTCTCAATAATCACCTCAATCTTTTCTATTCCCAAGTTTTAGCAAGCCTTTTGCACCCACTAGGCTTGAGTGCTTTCAAATGCACCCTCCAAATGCACTTGCTGGAATAAATGACCCCTTAAAGCACTGCCATAAACAGCACAGCGAGTTCAGGAGAGGATTCACAATCTGTAATTAAGAAATGCACTTCTGTTTCAAAGCTCCAAATCAAAGGGAGATCAAAGGCAGCTGTTTACAAAGGAGAAGAAAGCAGGCAGCAGTGTGAGCTGAGAAATGGCACAACTAAAGTTATTCCCACATGTACCACTCACAGAAGCGAGCAACAGAACTCAGATCCAATTAGAGACACAGGGACAAAGGGATTTTTGAGAGTTATGGGATTAACATGAAAGGAAAGTTCTAAGCTCTTAACACACCTGATCAGGGATGTCTTGCTCAGAGCTGGCTTCCAAGTCTTGAGGAAAAGCCCAGAAATCCCCACTGCACTGAGCTGGAGTCTCCTCTGAGAAACTTCCCATCCCAGAGTGACCCCACATGTTACACAGGGGCAGGAGATTCCACCCAAGTGCCTCAGCTGCAGAAAGTCAGCCAAAAGAAACAGGCTGCAAAAGGTGACCCTTTTCACTTACTTCAAGGAAACAGAGGCAGGTGAAGCTTGTGAGCAGGAATTCAGGTGATTTCCCAAATTGTGTGCCCCTTTTAAGCAAAAAAAAAAAAAAAAGAAAATTTACCCTGAAAAAGGGATTTAACTTTTGTTAAATTGTGTCTTTCCCAGCTCCATGGGATGCGGAGAATCACTTAAACACACAAACAGAGCAGGGAGGGAAAAGTTACAGAAAGAACAAATCAGAAGGGAAGAAATGTCAGCTAAACACTCCCTTAAACAACATGTGGGAGTAGGACGGGAGGAAGGAAAAATGAACTGCCAAGGCTCAGAGGGAGGGAGACTTCTGAGGGGAGAATGTTTTCCAAGTGCTGCTATAAACAACACTGACAGGCCAAAATCACTGCCCCTGCAGCACACATGGAGTGCTGCTCCTCTGGAACAAGTTTCTAACGTGTTACCACGGGAATACTGCAAAGCACATCCTGGTGAATGCCTGGTGAATCTTCCAGAAGCAAATCCTGTCTGGATTTGATACACTCATAGCCACTCTTTTGCTGAATGCAGACGTAAATAAGCAAAGGGCAATATAGATAAATCTGCTGTCTCAAATGGGGACTTTAAACAGCCAGTGCCACTGAAACAGAGGTAAATGATAACTCTGGGATTACTCAGGCTCAAACTACTGACCTGTAACTAGCAGGGAACTGCTGGGACTCTCCCGTACTCTGCACCTCAGAGCATGCACATTGCACAGGGTGTGCCATGGCAGCACCCAAACCCCTTTCCTCCACCAGCCAAACACCTGAACTACGGGAATCAGTCTCCCAAAAAGCTTTAAAAAAATCAGATCTCCATCACAATCTTCTAAAGATTACCAGGACAAAATGTTGAAGGGAAGAGGACAGGTGGTAGAGGTCAGGTCAGGAGCACAGCTTGGCAAATCAGACAGCCCTGGTGAGGGACCAGTGTGTGCGAAGAAGACAACGATGCAATGGTGAGAACATTAATTTCTAGAAGCTCAGCTCCCTGTTTCCATCAGATTTCCTTTGCAGCACGAACAACACGTTCCCAGAAGCACCTGAAAGGTTCAGTGGTTCACTCCAGGCTTCCCTCCACCTTCACAGCAGCTCTACTGCAGCACTTGGGTGCTCAAGCAAGCAACTTTCAGAAACAGCTGAGCAGGGTAACACAGAGGGAAGATCAGCATTTGGGAACTAAAAACCTTAGTTAATGGCTGGATAAACCTTGGGAGAGGTGCCCTTCCCCAAGCTGGATTCTGGGAGAGGGAATTCTCTCAGAGGTATATTTCTAACTGTGGTTTTCCACCCAGGAGCTGCTGGTTTTTGCAGCTTCCAGCTCTTCTTTCCTGCCCCTGTATCACAGCCCATCACCCCATCGTGGTGCCAACAGAACAGTCTGTGGGGCTAAAGCTGTAAATTAAATCACTGAAATGACTTGAGATAAAAGTACCCTTGCCCAAGAGAGTGTATCCACTTTCTAGCAAACAGCTGGCTCAGCATGGAGCAGAAGCAGGAATTTCTTCAGCTGGCTTCACCACTTACACAGAGCAAATCCCTGAACAGCCAACACTGCAGACACCTCGGGGATGTGCCCAACTTCAGACCTGTTCTAGTTAGTGAAAGGGTCAGAAGAAGGCTGATGATTTACTGGGAGGAAGAGAAATTATCTGAGCAGGGGTTTCAGATCTCTGCTCCAGTAAAGTCAATTATGTACTCAGCTTAAAAAAATCCCAACAGCCAAGATTGAGGGAGATCCACACCAGAATGCGCAGTGTCCTGGGAATGTTGTGATCCTCTAAATCAGGATATATTGCAAAGACAGCCTGGGGAACACTTTTCTGCACTGCAGGCCTTTGGCTTGCTCCCTTTTGCTGCTTTGCCTACATCCATCTTTGGGAATTCCTCATGCAGGGAACCTGTTTGCTTAAAGGGGTTAGGCAGGAACTAACCAAGCAGTGCAGAGGCTGTCAGCGATCCCAAACGACTCGATTTTGTCAGATGGAATCTGGCTGCCCCTCACATGTCACCCTCACCCCCTCTGTCCTTGCACCCTTCCTTTGTGAGACACTGATAATAAATGACAATAAATAATCACAATGCCCTGAGGGTAAACATGTTAGGGAGAGTCGTCTCAGGATAATGAAAGCCCAAGACGTGAGGGCAGACAGTGCCCTGTCAACTGAGTAATACTGATCATAAGATCTTATTTCATAAGACCATGAGCCAAACACACTTCTGTGGGTTCTGCTACACCTTTACCTTTTGCTGCCATCTTCGTTTACAGGTTGTCCTATTTCAAACAGGTTTAGATCATCTGGAGTTCTTAAAGTCTCCCTTGTGTTGCCATTATCCTTCTGACTGTTCTGCTTCTCCTTCTTCCTCTCCATCACATTTTGCAGCCGCCTCTGCTGTTGCTTCTGATAAGCCTTAAACTGGCTTTTGAAATCTTGGTTCGCTTTTATGTCTGACTCCATTGTTTACTAAAAGCATAACGAAATAAAAAGTGACGGGGAGCAGAGATCAGCATTGCTTTGAAAAACATCCTCTTCTGGCAGCTGCTTTGCAGCTTTTCCTCACTGACCTCTGCAGAGTCTCCCACCACCTCCTCCTCTCCAGCCCCACGGCCCTGCTTCAAGTGCCTTTCTCCTTAAATGGCTTTTAAACAGGCAGGTCTTTTCCACTCCAAAATTCAGTGCTTTAAAATGTTCTTAAACAGATCTGTTTAAATAAATATTTTTACAGAAGAGCAGGTTGGGGCCAAATCCAGGCGAGCGTGGCAACGAGGCTAAAAGGAAGGAACATGGACTGTTTGGGGTCATCCAGCCCTCCTTGACTAAAGGAGACTTCCCATGTTCAGGACAGGTGCAAATCCCCCTATTTTTGGGTGTGTTTCTTGTTCCCTTTGGGCAGTAGCCACCAAGACTGTGGTTTACACCTTTCCCCCAAATTTCTAAGCACTGAGTATTCCAGCCCCTTCTCCTTCCGTTTGACATTTACTGCCAGCAAAAAACCCTTGTGCACCTTCAGTCTGGGAAAACAAATCCCTTAATACTTCCAAAGGCACACCCTGAACTGAGTAATTAATGCACTGATGAATTGCCCAAATGCACCCTGTGCTTGTGTGTATCTTGTGGGCTGAGACCCACTGGAGAAGGTGCACTAAGGATTAACAAGTGCAGAGAGCAGAGTCCAGGGCCTCTGCACAGCCCACAGGGCATTGGGTATGGAGGATCAAAGAATGATAGAAACCTTGATTGGAAAATCGATTTTAATTGATTGAGGTCGGTTCTGTGATCGGGGAAAAAGCCTGTGGAGATAAGGAGTCCATTTACTTAAGGACACTGCATTTGAAATTCAGACAACCTTTCTGGTTTCAGTGTCCTTTTGATTGGTAACTAACTTTACAATTAGATTAGACCTCACTCAGTTTGATAGATTTAGCCACTGACCTTACAGATAGTAAAGATAAGCAAAAACATTTTCAGCCAGTAGTTGTCTCTGTTCTGAAAATATCCTAGAATTCTTAGCAGAGTAGCTATTTTAGACCTTAAATCATCTTCATAATTATTCTCAGAGATGTCTTTACCACTTACACTACATTATTAATTAATTGATTAATTAATTATCTGTAGGCCAGAAGTGTGCAGAGCACTCAAGCTGCAGCTATTTCACACAACACTTCAATGGAAAAGCCCCCTAAGGTCATCGAGCCCAACCATTAATCCAGCACCATCCTTGAGTTCACCACTAAACCATGTCCCCAGGTGCCACTTCCACACGTTTTTTGAACATTTCCATAGGTGGTGATTCCACCACTTCCCTGGGCATGCCCATTTGGTGACAAAATATTCCCTAATATCCAATCTAAACCTCCCCTGGTGCACCTTGAGGCTGTTTCCTCTTTATCCTGGTGGCGTGGGAGCAACCCTTACCCTTCCCACCTGGATACCGACTCCAAGCCTGGCACAGAGGGATCTGCTGTGTGGGGAACAAAGTTCCCTCTCCTCACAGAATCCCGGAATAGCTGGAGTTTGAAGGGACCTCTGGAGATCATCCAGTCCAGGGTCACCTGGAGCAGGTGATGGAGGAACGCGCCCAGGTGGGACCGGGGTGTCTCCAGAGACTCCACGCCCTCCCTGGGGAGCTGTTCCAGCGCTCTGCCACCCTCAGCGTAAAGTCCTCCCTCGTTTTTCTTGTGTTTTAGTTTTATCAATCGCAACTGTAACCCTACAATTGTAAGCGTCACCGCCCCGCCTCGCCCTGTGACCTGATAACACCTGACAGGACCCGGCAGCGCCGCGCCCCCAACCCCTTGGGCCGGCTGCCCCTTCTTCCCGCACCGCCCTCCGTCCTACCCGAACCGCCTTTCCCGGCCCCGAGGGCACCGCGAGAGTCCTCCCGCGTCTCCCCCTTCCCTCCTGGGCAGAGGCGGGAGCGGGGGATGCGGCTCCGGATCCCGCGGCCGGTCCCGATCCCGCTCCCCGTCCCGATCCCGGCCCCACGCGGTTCCCATGGCAACGGGCACGCGCCCGGCCCCTCAGCGCGGCCGCCATGATGGCCCCGCCCCGCTCCCCGCCCGCCCCCGCCATCCCCACATCGCAATTCCCGGAATTCCCGCACCAATCCCGGCCCCTCGGCGTGACGGAACAAAAGGGATCCGCTCCTCCTCCCGCCCCGCGCTGGGGGAGGAGGAGGGCGGGAGGAACAGGAAAAGGCGTCAGCGCGAACCCGGCGCCCTTCCCATGTCCATCCGTGCGGGAGCAGCCAAGGGCAGCAGGGCTGTAGGAAAGGGGAATCAAGGACAGCGGCGGCGGGGAATGTTCTTTCCAGGAGCGCTGCACCCCCCTCGGGTGGTTTTTGTACAGGTAGAGCAGCTCACGCCATGCCTCTAGAACGGGATGAATGTTCCCCCCACACACACACACAAATCCATAGGCAAACACTTGTTATCTCCAGGGCTCACTTTTATTCGTATTTAACCTCCCCCTGCTCTGTACAACACGTCACGGACAGGTGCCGTTTGTAACTTGTGCTATTTCTTACAGAGACACCTGTAACATCTGATACTGCCACCATGGAATGTATGCTAACAGGAGAAAATTAGGGTTTTTTTTATAAATTGGCTTTTATTTTTGTGACTGCTGTTGGAGGTACAAGGGGTGTTGAGTGTAAAATAACTCACAGGGAAGGGTTTTAACACCTCAGAGGTGATGGGACTTTTCAGATTTAAGTATTTTAAAACTTCCTATGGCGAACGATACTGCAGAAACCAGAGCTGGGTCGAACACTTTAAAAGCATTAGGACACCAAATCAAGGCTTAGTTTTCACAATATGTATTTTAAATGTTACATTTAGATGTTATTCAGAAGAACACTGTAAATAAAGTTACAAAATACAGTAATCTCAGGGTCTGATACAGCAAAAATAGGGAGCCCGTGTCTTCGTTAACAGTGAATAAATATAACATTTAAATAGCTGCGACATACCAAGTACTTATCTCATGCCTTAAATAAAAAAAAATAGATGTTTATATAAATCTCTCAATATTTTAGAAGTCATTTAGTGCTACTGGAAGCTTCTAAATTACAAAGTTGGAGGCAGAGGATAAAAAATGACAGCAGGGCACTCTTGACACTCTCTGACAGAAGCCAGTTCGGAATTTGTGTTTTTGGGCAACAACAGCCAAAGAAGTCACCAATTTTAGGACTGAGTTGAAGGGTAAGATAAAGGGATTGTAGTCCACTATATCCCCTAAAAACTGGGATGTGGTGGTGTCAATCAGAGAGAACCAGACCCCAATACCCACTCCCCCAGTGCACAATCATTTAAGCCTCCAGCTTCAGCACAGTGTACCATACACAAATAGAACAAATCTCTAATGCCATGTATTATTTTTTTCTTTTTTTTTTGTTCTAGAAACCCTTGGTATGAGGTTTGGAGCTGCAGTGCACAGGCCACCACCAGGACAGAGGCTTCAGACAACTCTCCATTATTCCTTGGGCTTCACCACATAATCCCGGAACATCGAATACAGCACACCTACAAAGAGAGAAACAAAAGCACAGTTAAGAGCTAGGTGAAACAGGAAACAATGGGGTTAAAAACCTGAACAGAAACAGGTATTCTCAGCAGGAGAAGTAATGTTTCCCTTCCTCCTCTGCTGCATTTTTCTAATAGCAGTGATGGCTGCAAAACTCTTCATGTGCAGAGAAACTGGTTGTGAAAATAGAGTTTATCAACATGCAGATTCCAACCCAACTCTGGTCTGCTTTGCAGCCAAAGTCAGGCTTTCCTGTTGTACCTCCTGGGAATACAGTATGGAGAAACAGTGTCTCGAGGGATACAGAATATCCACACGTACACAGCTGCAATGCTTAGATGAGACTTGGGATGTACAAATGACTCAGGACGTTCAGGGACACAAGTCCAGTCCTGAAAATATATATATCTAGAGAGAGATAGATACATACATATATATATGTAAAATATATATAATATCACAGGCTATACAAGCTGATTTTCCAATGCATTAAATTCAGAAACAGCAACAGGGGAAAATACTCGTGCCAGGTAAGTAAGTTTTTTCTTTGCCTCTCATTTCACAGGCTACACAAGCTGATTTTCTAATACATTAAATTCAGAAACAGCAACAGGGGAAAATATTAATGCCAGATAAGTGGTTTTTTTCTTTGCCTCTGATTTCCCCATCTGCAGAACTTCACGTGCCACATCTTGAAGTATTCAAAACCACTACTCTCAAGGTCAGTGCAGTTTAACAGTAAATACTTGTACTTAACAGATAACTCCAGAAAGGCTGAGCAAACACCAGTAAGGAGCACAAACATCCTGAAATAAATGTTCTGGATACTTCCATCCTAAGGACATGTCACACACCCTGTATTATCCCAGAGGCTCTCCGTGGTTTCCCACTTCCCAGGGCAGCTCCCATTCCGTACGTACCACACGTTATGGCTCCCACGACGAAGCCCTGGGCTGCCACTCGCATGTGGATCAGGTGAAGGGACATTTTCATCTCACCTCTGTGCTTCAGCCTGTACAGCCCGTACCCAACCACGGCAGCAAACCCAGCCATCCCTGCAAGGCAAGGAGAGCATCCTGCTCAGGGGACATCCAGGGCATCCAGAGGAGTGAGGGGACCCACCTAAACAAAATATCCTGGGAATCGTAGAATCCTTTAGGTTGGAAAAGACCCTTTTAACATCGAGTCCAACTGTTCCCCAGCACAAGGCCACCACTAAAAAGTCCCCAAGTGCCACATCCACACGGCTTTTAAATGGCTTTTAAATCCCTCCATCACTGCCCTGGGCACCCTCTGCCAGTGCTTGACAACCGTTTTTGTGAAGAAATTTTTTCTAACATCCATTCTAAAACTCCCCTGGCACAACTTGAGCTTGTCATCCTAAAATAAGCATGTTTCCCTCTGGTTTTGTGTGTGTAGTGGCAAGTCCTGGCCCATCTCCTGTTTCCACTCCAGTGCCACCTCATTCAATGCACAAGTCAGTGCAGGGAAGAGCAAGAGAATTCCACCAGCATTAAAATGCCAAAAGAGCAGGTCAAGGTGTCAGAATTCCTTGGATGTTTTTCAGACAGAGCCAGGGCTCCTTGCGCCCCCTTTCCTGGAAGGAAGCTCACACCCAACAATCCCACTCTGCTGCTCAGTCCCTCAGCGTGGGATGCTCCCTGACGTACCCCTACGCCTGCTGAGGCTGCTATTCTGGGTGTTGTCACATTTGGCCAGGTGCCACCGGGACAGGACAAGTCACATGCTACTGT